TAATTTATAAAAATAATAGAACATTTTACTTGATTGAATATAGTGTGGAGTAATAATATTATTATCCTCAATTGCTTGAGTAATCAAGGTTTGAAGATTTAACTTAATATCAGCAGGTATTTTTTCTGGAGGTGGAGGTGGATGGTTATGTGTCCCAACACATACTATTGCAACAAACGGGCATGCTTCAAGATCCCGTAAAATAAATTTGTAAAATTTTACTGGCCAATTTTTTTGAATTATATCCCCACGGTCAATATTTCCATTAGATAGCCAATGAATATAATCTGTATAAATAAAGTAAATTATTAGTTTAAATTAAATAAATTATTAATTATAGTAAAAATATATGTACCACATTTTTTTCTTTTGGATAATCAATGTAATAAAGTTGTACAATAAGGTAATTCTTCTTGTATCTAATAATAAATTAATATTAATTATATAAGATAGTTAATTATATATATATATATAATACCTCTTTTTTTCCAAGAAATAAATCTTGAAGAAGTATAATATCAACTTTTTCACTATCAACTTTAATATAATGGTGCCATTTATCTCCAACATGATACATTGAACAGCCAATAAACCATTGATATACATTCAGTAGATCTTGAGAAATATGTGATTTACATAAAACCAGATTTCTAGAACAAGCAATTTCATTATTATATTTGAATTTGCAAGATGTACCCTTAGCAGCTAAATAAGTACTAAATTTAAAAAAAGTTAATTTTATGATAATATATATTGGACAATATTTATTTATTAAAATATATTTACATGTAAGTACTTGTTTTTTTAAAATCAGTATTGCGATTTTCAGTAATGTTTTTCCATAACGATGATTCAATATCAATCTCATTGTGCTCAATACTTGTAAGCGAAAGATCAGTAAATTGACAAACTTTGATTCCCATACAATCACGTTCTTCTTTATTTACTTGAACATTGTCAAAATATGGAAATTCTTTAATCAAATGAATTCTACCACCACTCATAGAATATTGTACCTGACATAAATAAATTATACTGTAAATCTAGTTTATATAAATTAATTTTAAATTAAAAAAGTTTTTACATTTTTCTATGCATGACTTGGATCAGCCCAATCTGTAATATGGAATATTGTTGCAACTTCTTCTGGTGAAGTAGCTGAATATTCGATAGGTAGGTTGGAATGAATTATAGTTTTTATGTGAAACCAGGATATAAAACATGCTATCTCTGGAATTTCTTTATTGTCAATTAATTCCTCTACCAACGACTCTGTTTCAGATTCCTAATAATAATTTTAACTTTATAAAACAGATGTTTACTATTTAAAACATTTTTGTATATTACCTGTTCAAATTCAGGATTTACTTCGTCAAATTGAAATTCTTCAACATCAGATATATCATCCATATTTGCAACAATCGAATCAAAGTAGATCATTACTATAAGAGGGATTTTGACAAATATAGGAATCACCATAAAATCAATCACGATCATACATAAAATCAATCATATGATGTACTAAATGTGTAATCGAATCGATCATGCATTAAATATATGTAATCGTACGTCTGAGCATAAATTTTCTTTTTTTACATCTGTACGTACTAAATTGTACTACTGTACTGTACTAATTTACTATATACCTCCAGTACTGTAATAAATATAATTCATGCGTACTATGTACGTTATGTATGTATAACCAATAAATACTTATTTAGCATTGGATGATAAATTAATTAATGACATAACACTATTGCTATCGATATAAGAAAATGCAAACTGCAAATCTAAACCTTTTTTATCCACCAATTTCTAAAGAAATAATGGATTTAAAATTAAAAGTCGATATTGATACGCTCGATACAAGTTCAAGAAATAACAATATATCAAATCAACCCGAAATAATCGTGCTATCCGATTCAGACAATGAGCCAGTGCTAGTAATTTTTTTATTTTAATAATAATCAGCGATAAATTTAATATTGCATAATAATAAGTTTATATTATATTAAAGGAATCAACTTTGAATTCATTTATCTGATATTATGAAGTATTATTTGTACTATTGTCGTGGCTTGGTATTTGATCACAAATTATTTTAAAAAAAAAATTAACATGTGATTTTATAAATAGGATTTACAAATTTCTAGCAGCTCTGAAAGTGAATATTGTAGCAATAATAGCTTAAACGATTGTGTATCTATGGATAATTTAAATGATAATGATATAATTGGAAATAGTTTGAAAGATGAAGACATCTAGAGGATTTAAACGATAATGATATACTTGAAAACCATTTGAAAAATGAGGATAATGATGAGATATAATAATTATTTAATTTAATATAATATTAATGTATATAATTTATGTGGGGAATGAAGCTGAAATTTGGATAATCGTGAAATTAATGCATCTGATTAGCCAATGGGGTTTTTAGATTTCATGATCATTCAAATTTCAGCATCATCTCTGACAATTTATATATATATAGTAATTAATTACAGTTATTTTAATTATGTAGCAACCAACATTTGCCAAATTTGGCCGAAAATTAATCATCAATCAAGTTGAATATTATTTTGAATTTCAGGAATATCCAAAGACTTCTTTAATGGGTGTAGCAAGTGTTTATAATGTTTTAGGCTGGAATCATAATGATGCTAAAAAAATGGTTGGAATTTCCAATATCCAGTATGCTCATGAAGATCCTAAAAATATTCGATCTATTAAAAAATGTCTGTTCTTAGGTGTACCAGTTCAAAAAACTTATCGATCATGTCATAGTGTAAAAGTATGTAAATTCGGTTCAACTACTTTTAATATTGAACACACCTCAGTCGATTTTTAAAATCAATTGTATAAAAAAATCTTTGATGCAAACGAATTTTCTATTAATACGTTCACACTAAAGTAAGTAAATAACATTATTTAAATTTTATTTTTTTTAATTAAAAATTCTTTTATAATTTTAGCACATACGGTCAAGCTCATAATACCCCATGTCCATATGTTGATCCAATTACTAATATTCATTGTAATGAAGGTCCTGTACTTAAAAAATATAAACAGGTATAAAAATTAATACAGTCTACGCTCATTATATAGTTATAATAGACTTTATTATAGCAGATATTCATTATAATGAAGTAATTTAAACCATTTTTTTTATATTATGTAATGCCATACATAGCATTCATTATAATATTCAGCCTGACTACTATGTTATAATAAGGGTAGATATATACAAGTGATTTTTGATGCAAGAAAATTGTTGAAAATTTTCTTATATTAAAATTTTTTGTATCAAAGAATAAAAGTTTTATTTTGGATTTATGTTAAAAGTATATATCGAATATTTCTTATATTAAATTATATTTTTAAATTTAGATTAATAATACATTAACTATTCAAAAATTTATTGGATGTCAAAAGTATCAATTTGGTCAGAAAGGGCATCGTTATATTGCAATTAGTTAGCATGTAAATTTAGAATATCTTGAACAATTATTTCAAAACTATACTTATTGTTCTGATGAAATTAGTTTTTTTTTATTTTTTTTTTAAATATTAATGGTGAGGCCATGCCTCTATCTTTATTGAATATTCAATTGAGATTTTACATAA